AATGAGCATGAAACTGAGCAAACTCAGGGAGGCAGTGAAGGACAGGAAGGCCTGGCGCAATATGGTTCATGGGGTCACGAAGAGTCGGACATGACTTAACGACTAAACAACAACAAAATCCTTAAAGATCAAGAAAAAAGAAGGAAAGAAGTGATTCATGATAGAGGCACATGGAACAATGAACTGAAACAAAGATATGCTAGAAAGGGGATGAAATATGTAGGTGGTTTTAAGTGATACTTTAACTGCAGAGGCACGCAGTATTCAAATCAGAAGTGGGCATGTAGGTGCTTCAGATCCAATATGTACAACTTGCCTGTACCTCTAGGCTGTTTCTTAAAGGAGCTGCTGCTTTTCCTGAGCTCACATGGAAGATGTATATTTAAAAAAAATGTGTTTGAATTAAGGAGATGTTAAGGTAGAGCTAGAATGCCACATTAGATCCAAAGCAACCTGCTAGCCTTGGATTTAAATACTTCTTATCTCCATTTAATTGCATTTTATTAATTCATGAAAAACTCCATGAAAAACTTTCTGAATTAAATGCTGAAAAATATGTATGACCTCAATTTGCACCACAATACTTCATTTACATAGTTCCCTTTATAAGACTAAAGGTATGTACATTTAAAAAAAAAATTAGAGAGGTATGAAAAGGCTGTCCCAATGAGATGTGCAATGGAAAAACCATTTCAATGTGATGCTTAATAAGCATCCTGTGAGTTTCTGTTGAAACAGAGCTCCTTCCGATATAAAATTCTTGGTAGTAATTACGCTGGTGTAGAATAATTGGCCGGTATTCTTTCCTTCCTTGCAAAGGTGACTATGACATATAAGAACTAAAACTGCTATCCTAAATACAATAAAAATAAGCCTCATCTAATGTAACAGAAATTATTCAAACCCATGTATTACACTTTCAAAGCTCACCATTGGAGGGGACAAGCTGAGCTGCATGCCTATAATAGGATTCAGCCTGGCTGGTCTGATTTCTGTAGCGAGCTGTGAAAACAAGATGATTTTATTTTAAACAGAACACTAGTTTACCAGTCAATGAGCTATATGCCCAATTTCTAAAATAACTACATTTTGTGCATATTACATAATAATGGTCCATGTAAGACTAGTGATATTACAAATATATTGTTTTGAGTTTTACATAGTCAAACTTGATTGTGATGAAACTGATGAGACAGGACAAATGTCCATGCATGGCACAAACTGAGATGATTATTACCACCTTGCCCTGCTTGGGAGTAGCAAGAGCCATCAGGCTGGCTACAGTGAGGGACAGAATGCTGGACTTTGGCCTCCTCTTACTCTCTTATCCATCTTGAAATGACCTAGTTACCCCTTGACATGGTACTCTTGAGTGAGACAGAAAAACTAATTGGTATCTAGAGTTACAAAACTACATAGGTGACCAAGTGCAGCACTTGAAAGAATTCTACAATCCACAACCCAGATTTGCTGTTTGTATTGCAACTTCACAAGACCATAACGTCTCTTAAATGTGGCAACTTCAAAACACAACAGCATATTTTTCTTTATGCAGCCTTGATTGTCTTCAGAGATTGGCGTGTGTGCTTTTTCAACCCCTCCTTGAGACTCTACCATTTGTACTCTCTGAAGATAAGCTTAAAACAGAACTTCTCCTACTTTTGTTACTCACCAATGTCTCCAAGGTGGACAAGGCAGTGCTGGCATATATATGAGCAGGAGCTAGATTGTGGCTTCACTATGGCGCTGGTGTGCGTCTGTTTATTGCTGATAATTCCCAACTGAGAGGACTTCACACGGCAGGGCAAATCCACATTAAATACTGTGCACAGTTCCTGCAGTAGCTGAAATGAGAAATTACCACTTATATCTAAATCTCAGATTCTCAGTTAAAGCTTAGCTAAACATTTCCCTTTATTATTCTCCATCATAATCATTTTGGAAAGTTATTCATGAAAATTTAATAGAAAAATAAACCATTTTACCATTCTTGTTTTATTTCTTCTCAAGATTGGAAGTTTTGAGCTCAGTGGTTAAAAAAATATCACAACACTCAGTGGTTAAAAGAATATCCCAACACAGGGATGACAAAGATCTTGAAGAGCTGTTATTAATTGAGAGTAAATAAGGTTAGCCAAGAGAGACCCATGGTTTGATTCACTTTAAAATAAATAAATATCAATCTTGATTCCTGGCAACTACCTGGACAAATCCCTGGAGTTTTCCTGGCAAAATTTTCAGAAGTGGTTTGCCACTGTCTTCCTCCTGGGGCTGAGAGAGAGTGATTGGCCCAAGTCACCCAGCTGGCTTCAGGCCTAAAGCAGGACTAGAACTCATGATCTCTTGGGTTTCTAGCCTGGTATCTTTAACCACTATACCAAACTAGCATTGGTAGGTAGGTAGATAGTTCTAGTTCAGCATCCCATTTTCCAAAGCAGTCAAATTAATACCTATGAAAAATCTCAAAACAGGATTGCTATCTCCATTTTTATCATTTTCTAAAAACTAGTATTTCAGACATGCATTCTCTATTCTTAAAGGTAACATATAGTCACTGTGCTTGGTTATCACTGTTAGTTTTATTCTATATAAACTTTTAAAATTACCTTTTAAAACTAGAGGTTAAATTTATATATCACATTAAGCCATACTTGTTTTAATCATTTTTTAAATTAAACCACAGACACCTGGTTAGCATGGAACACTAAGATATGGCTTACACACCACATTTTAAGGGTATAAGTTGGTGGGGTGATAGCCTGATTCTCATACAGAGAAAACTATTATAGAAAGATAGCAAAGAACTCTGAGACCAAGAAAAGCACAACCAAAAGTCTGGTAACTCAAAAGGTGGGAAGAGGGTCAGGATTTGAACCATGAGACTGACGTAAATACATAGGGCAATTTCCTACATGCTGCTATATAAAGAACTTCTTTATAAAACTATCTAACCTTCTTGCATCTGTTTGAGAATGCAGAGTAAAGAGAGAGAGAGTTTTATAGCTGAGCTTGAAATGCATATCTGGGTGCTAAGACAAACCAAACAGACCATATTATGGTTTACTGCATGGTTTGAACCAGCCTAATGACTGCACTGTTTATGATTTTATCCAAGCCTCCTGTATGAAGCTGCAAAAACGTAGCATATAAAATCAGATTCTTTCAGACTAAAAAACAATGGATGCTATTATGTGGCCTTAAGAACATGGTCCTGGAATTTTATAATAATTAATATCTTATATTTTATAAAAATAAAAACTAAGTATATCTTAATAATTTAATTAATCTGCAATCCTTTGTTATTTCAGAATCCCTATGGTTTTTTGGTGTTTTTTGGGAAGACAAATTTATTTCATAAATATTAACATAGGTGCAAGCAAACAGGAACAAAGACAGCTATAAGAGATGTATTATGAAAAGTCTCTTTTCTAAATACTACTCTACAGTTTAAATACTCTAAATCAACAGGAGTCTGGTAGTACCTTTTTCTTCCAACTAACACAATTTATTAAAAGGCATAAGTTTTTGCAAGCTACAGCTCACTTCATCAGATGCAGTGGCTAGCCTGATGTAGAGTGTAAATTGGAATGAGACAAGAGGGAAAGGAGGGGAAGACAGAAGAGTTATGCAATATCTATATACTCTCTGGAGGTCTTTATAGTTATATGTTCTGGAGGCATCTCTTGCCTTTTCTAAAGGGAAAATAAATTTGCAAAACTTATTGCACCCTCTCACCTAGGGTTCCGGAAAGCTTTGAAAACCTGGCTTTGGTCCCAGGCCTGGAATTGATGTTTGTTATTTGTTTAATGGCCCCTGTTTTGTTTTGTGGATTTTGTTATTAGAGTATTTTAGTCCAAGCTGCCTGTTGATTAAATAATTTTAGCTGTTTTTATGTCTTTTTTATTTTTGTGCGCTGCCCTGAGTCCACTGGAGTTGGGTGGCCAATAAATTTAAATAAATAAAATTTTGTATCCCTTAAAGAACAATACAATTTCCGTATCATGGTCATAGTGCTATTCCTTGACTCACCTGCGTATAGAAGCCACTAGCTGCTTCTAGGAATAGAGAGAGGTTTGCTTGAACTTCACTCCGATTTGGATTTGATCGATTTTTTGCTTGACCCTGTAGAGTTGTGATCTGATTCTTAAAGGCATGATTCCACCTAGAAAAAGAGAAGCTTTCATTGTTCTATGTAGCACAAAAACTGATACACTGATAAGTAAGTTTGAATGAGAAGGGGATAGGAGCATGCTATATATACCCAAGCTTTCTTTACTTGTTAACATTTACATCAAACAAACAGCATAGACCAAAAATATTGGCATGATTCCACCTAGAAAAAGAGAAGCTTTCATTGTTCTATGTAGCACAAAAACTGATACACTGATAAGTAAGTTTGAATGAGAAGGGGATAGGAGCATGCTGTTTCAGTGAAGCTTCTAGAGTACCACAGTATAAAAACACTATTTTCACGTTATGACCTGATATATACCCAAGCTTTCTTTACTTGTTAACATTTACATCAAACAAACAGCATAGACCAAAAATATTCATGGCAATAAGGATCTGTCAGAAAATCTGCCTGATAATAAGAATCGGGCACTGAGTATTATCCTTTTTTTTCTTTTCAGTATGGACCAAAAAACCCAGATTGCTCATCAGACCAAAGCCCACTGGAAGGTTGACTTCTTGTCTCTCAAAGAACACATGGGGGCAAGGGGGAGATGAATTTGACTGTCTACAACAATCAGTGATGCAACAGCTGCAGGGAGCTTGTTTCATCCTTCTCTGTCAAGTAGAACACTAAGCTTCTGATGCAGCAAGTGCCTTGGAATTGAAAGGCTACACATTCTGGACTCAGGTACTGGCCAGAGGTGTCAAGAACTACCAGTTAACATTCAAACAAGCACCCACACCAAGTGAAAATCAGCCCAGGCTGAACTGGATATAAATTCAGGTTTATGGGTCAATCCATGGCTTTGGCCCTGAATGAATGGCTTCCCAAATTTCTTTTTTTCTTCTGCTCTTTCCTTGTATGTCTGTTTTTTGAAGAATGTAAGCCCAAGTGCAAAGCTTATCCTTTTTTAATTGGGAGTCAATAAGCACTTGAAATAAGCCAAATGATTAATATCTCTCCTATGTTACCACCAACTACTTGCAGTACAGGGAAAAAGAACCAGAAATTTCAGAAGATCCAATTTTTCTAAATAATTTTCCAGCCTGCATACAGCTTACTCAGTTAAAAAAAAAGAGAGAATCTTTAATAAAACAACATAAGTGTTACTCATTTACACTTACAGATCTTGTTCCACTTTTTTATCCAATGCATACTCCAAATCTGTTACTAACATTTTCTGGTATAAGTCCTGTAAAGCCTGTCGGGATGTCCAGGCTTCAGCTGGCCCCAGTTTCGAATCTGAAAAAAGAATATTTTTTAATTTTTATTTTAAATTTTAAATATATATGTATGTATGTACGTACGTATGTATGTATGTATGTAGACCAATGGTCCTCAAACTTGAGATACTTGAGAAACCCTTCTCAATGTAAAAAATCAGCATGGAACCCATTAATAAATATTTTTTATGTAATACCTTGTCAGAGACTTTTCTCTTTTAAACAAAACAAAGGAATGAACATCTTTACAATTTCACCGTAATCATAAGATAAATAGTCATGTGGAAGCCCTGGATGATTCTCAGGGAACCTTGGGGTTCCAGGGAACACAAAGAAATTAATGATTTTCAAAACAAAAAAACAAAAAGAAACAGATGATTCTTGAGGAACCTTGGGGTTCCAGGGAATACCATGGCTCTAGACTAATAATGTATTGTCTTAACTCTGAACTAACTTGGATACAGTTTATTTCTCTTTTGTTTTTGCAGGGTTCAAAATGAGAAATTTGGAATAGTGGCACAAAGTGAAGTTAGAACATAGAAGTCAGTGGAAAGAACAATATTTTCATCTCCTCCGGAAGTATACTGGACTGGTTGTAACATAGTTGACACAAAAGTATTTACAATTTTGGGGTAGCACTGGTAGTCCCCTGTTGTCCTCACTCCTGCTGCCACCCTGTATTTGGGGCTGATACATTTATATCTTCTTATAAAGAAGCTAGTAGGAAGGATGGCTCCTCAACCACATCTATTAGTTGTAGTTGCTCACACTCACTAGACCAGGACATTTACTCAAGCCTGTTGGAGCATTACAATAGCAAGTTTTACTGAAATCAGATTACCTAAATTTGGAAGACTTAGGAAGAGAAACTTACCTGTCATGTCAGCCTTCAGGACTTCTGCCTGCCTGTAAGTAAAATATATGATGAAAGTTATTAAAATAATTAATAAAGATAAATTCATCAAACTAATTAAAACCCAAGGATATTCAGGTCCTACGGACTTGTGCAATTTACCTAAAATTCAATCTACAACAGAATCTCAGGGCTGCTTATGTTCCAAAGGAAATGTATTGCTTTAGCCTTTCTTATAATATATTAAGTGGGAATAACATTTTGACCAAGTTCACATATACAAAATAATCATTAGGACAGAATGTAATTAATAAAGTTTCTGAAATAACCACACAGAGAAATTAATGATTTTTTCTCAGAAAAAAACAAAAAGAAACAAAACAAACCCCTAACTTGTATTGTCATGTCCCCTGCTCCAAGGTCACAATCAGTGATTCTCTGACCTCTAGTTTAATCTTTTCTGGAAGAGTACTAAAGACCAGCTTTGCAATCTTGCAATGTATTACACTGTAAACAAGATTCTTATTTCATTACCTCCGTTTTAATTCTATTTAGACAGTTTGCACTGGAATAAGTATATGTATGCTGCCAAAATATACAGCAACAACAAATTATTAAGTTTATGTATTTTTCATAGAGCAGAAGAAAGGAATAAAATAATGGGATGCTGGGAATTGCATCAAGCTCAAGTATTTAGATATGAACCCCTACATAAGCTATTAGATTAGCAGGTATCTTTGTTTTCAATCTCGCCCATATCTAGCTACTAACACATTTTACTGATTTTTGACATAGATACCATGCTTCTCAGCAACTTCACTTGATACTTTTAGTTTTATATGTGTTGTAGTTGTTATATAACATGTTAACAAAACAATTCCATGCACAAGTTCAGATCATTTTAGAGCCACTGTATTTTCACAAAATGATTAGAATTGGGTGAGACTTGGCTATTTACAAAATGGCTGCCACATCATAAAACATTCATTTCCCAGAGGAACTGGGGAAGATGAAAGAAAAATAACTTGCCCTGAACCTAAGTGTCCCGATCTTGACATAGATGTTTGAGTTCCAAAACACAAAACTACTCTTTTGAAGAATCATTTCTGTTTCAACTCCAACTCAAGAATGCTATCACCCCAATTTATTCTTTTACTTCTTTTAAATAGCTGATTGACTTTTAGTATACTGCCTTAGAAACTGCCCTTCAATGCTTTCTAAGTCTGAGATGATAGTTTAGTAACAAGAGAATTAGATTGCCAAAGTGCTTAATTAAAATGTCTCTGTCAGAACCTTCAGTTAAATCTAGTACTATCTGCCCAATCAAAATTTATTATAAATTAAGAACAGAAGAGAGTAAATTCAGGTGGACTACTAAGACAGCTTTTTCATCTACTTTGTTCAAAGAAAAATAATTAATATTATTTTTAATTGCTATTGCAAAATTGACATTGCACAGCTCTGACCCAGATTAAATTATTCATAGATATGCACATATCTATGAGTTTTATGTACAGCTCAATGCTGTTCACAAGGCCATTTTTCCAAGGTACCTTAAGAACCTGCTTGGAATACGTCCAATGCTGGGATTTTTATAAATTTTAAACATCAGGATAGTACCAAATTGCCTATCACAAGATTGTATCATTAAAGAATATTTAATTATGTACTAAATAGTTGCTACATAGAAGACAATAATCCCCATAACAACAGCATTTATAGGAAGGAGTACTATCACCTATCTATAAATCTTAGCCAGCAATGGTGATGGTGTATGAACTGTACAAGCAGTACAGGCAATCTTTAAAATTACACACACAGTGTCAAAAGTTACATGTGTACCAGGATATTATATAAATATAAAAAGTATTGGCTTAGTTTCCTACATTAAAATCTAGTTTAGGGAACACCTGTTACCCTCATGTATATGGTCAACCATTTATTAAGTGCAGCCTTTTCATATTAACTCCCTTGCCAAGCTAATAGCTCTTCCTACCTAAAGTCTTATTACACTTCTGCATAAAGTCAGAAACCTAAGAAAACAAGAGAGTGGGAATTTCCCACATAATTCGATAATACAAATTTATCAGCTTACCAAGTGATTCAATGAGAACTACTTGGATAATAGATATTGCTTTATTTCTTACTGAATATTGTTTTAATGTATTGTTTATTATGTGTTTTACTGAATTTTTGTAACCATTTCGAGATGCTTCAACATAGGAAATAGTACATAAACATGTTAAATAAATAACTGTAAATACATTCCAAGTATTTAATAAACTTAGTTCTTACATGACTGAGAAATACAAGTCATTATATACAGAAGACACAAACACTGAAATCTCTCGTTTCCTATTTCAGTTTCTTTTAAATGATTCATCTACCCACATCCCTCTTCAGAAATACTAATAAAAATACTTTTTATCTGTTTTTAAATAAAAGCAATCTTAAGATACAAAACCCAATTTTTCACATGCTTACCTCAGTAGCATAAAATTTAAAAACCTGCTGTTTTCAAATGTATCTTAAAAAGAAAATAATTTGAACTGCAGAAATCCTAAATCCTAAATACTGAAATCCTAACTGCTCTGTGTTGAAGAGTAATTTTATACAAATACAACTATTTTTTTCTAATGATTTATGAGAACGTAAATATTTTAGCCAGAAGAATTATGAAAAAAAATGTGTCAATATTATTTTGATCCATATGGTATATTTCCTTTGCCTATGGCTTGTAGGCAAAGGAACAATATTCAAAATATCTATACCATGTTTGTTCATTTTCCCCTAAAAACAGACTTAACCCTGAAACTCAAGTGCTTGCTATCAAAGTTCCACACTCAAGGCTTGCTTCCTGGCAGCTGGTATTTTCATCCTCAAAATACATCCTCCAAATCCTGCTGTTTTGTTTAGCTTTTTATTCCCACATTAATATTATTTTGAAATAACTGCCAGTGTTTCCCAAAAGAATAAGACACACAGGACTGAAAGAGATCCTTATGATCCTATGATGCAATACATTTGTAGTAAAGGCACATTATTCCCTTTCCCAGAAGTTTGTCATTCGTACACACAAACATGGGTGTTCTGCTAGTATAAAACAAAAGCAGAATCTCAACAGAAACAATATTGTCTGTCTATGTTTCCATTAATGCCTATTTTACAATGTCCAAAATACAAGCTGAAACAAGTAAGTGACCAGAGTTGAACCCTAACCTATTTAATCACATTTATCATACGAAATCAGACTATTTTTGTTTAGCACTATAACAATAGCAGCAGACCTGTCTGGAATAGCAACTGTGCAGATGCTAATGGAAATAACAATGCTCAACAAATTCACTGTTTTATCATTGTTACTGATTCACTGTTTTATAATATATTTTATTTGCTTGTAAAAACACTCAACTATTAATTCAGTCATAGTGCAGAACACAGTGACTGAATGACTAATTCACAAGTGACTAATTCACAGTGACTAATTCACAAGTGCTACACATTAATGGGCTTCTTTTTCTTGTATCCATTCACCATCATACTGCTTTTCACCATTGTGAACTTTTCAGTGCCTGTGAGTTGGCAAGTATACTCTAACAAAGGACAAAGTAGGAGATGTGCACAAACTGATTCTCACACATCCTGGTCCAATGGAATACTCATGTTTGGCCACGCTAACTCAACCTTCTAAATGACCTATTCCTTTCCTACTGCAACAGGGAGCTGCTTGTTTGCATTAATGCCCATGTTATTCTGTGAGAGGTTTCTTAGCCACGTATGCCACAATTCCTCTGTAACAGAAGTCAGATGAGACAATGAGCCAAGTTTGTTGACAGTGCCTGATACAAGTAGCTTAACCATGAAGTTGGCTACCAGCTAAAGGCAGAACATGAGGCACACTGGAACACCATGGCCCTGAAACTGGAAAAGGCTGTGCAAAATGTAAGTATCATCTGCTTTTTTTACCACTCTCAGATACCTAAGTGGAATGACTAAATAGACAATAATATCTACAAGGCTGATGGGACATTGGTACCCTCTTCAAATGAGCAGCTTCAGAGATAGAAAGAACTTTTCCAGCCACTGTACACCTATGAAGAGCCACAGGTACCACCAGGAGATCCACTACTGTATTTATCCAAATGCCAGAAAATCAGGAGTCAAATATTGTGCCAACAGTAGATGAACAGTTGCATAAAGGTACTGAAAAATGGTAGGGCAGATGGATAGAGCCCCAGCTGAGGCAGTCAGAGCTGGTGACCATTTGACTGACTATATTTATTGTTAATTTGGCACTCAGAGAAAATCCCCACTATATGGAAACAAGTTGTTATAATCCCTATTTTGAAAAAAGACGATAGCCACCAATTCAAAAACAACTAGGCCATAAGTTTTCTGTCAGTCCTTGGAAAGGTCTTCATAAGAATCAAGCAACTACACTTCCAGAAACAGTGGGAACAGGTAACTAGAGGACAGTAGTCTGGTTTCCACCCAAACCAAGGATGCTGTGACCAGATTTTCATTATTAGACAACTAATAGAAGAGAAAATTCAATGTGGCAAACAAACAATCATTGTATTTATTGACTTTGAAGCAGTTTTGACAGTGTATACTGGTCAGTTTTATGGAAAGCACTGAAAACTAAACACAAGCCCACAAAATCTACAGCAATTCCAACAGATGTGTACACATCCAAAAGTAATTTTCAGAGGAGTTCTTGATTTGAACTGGCATTAGACAAGGCTGGGTGATCTCACCCTTGCTGTTCAAAGTCATATTGATGCTATTATGAGGTTGCTTTGGAAGGCAACTCAATGAAACCCACTATATAACTAACCTCATGTTTGTAGACAGTGACACAGAAATCACCAACATTTTGTATATCATGAACACAGTCCATCATATGGCTTGAAAATTAATGCTGATAAAACAAAAGTTTTGACAATTGATGGGTTTTGGTCTGCTGTCTACCTCAACAGAACCCGTATACAGCAAGTTAACCAGTTCAAATATCTTGGATTGCTAATAGAAAAACAGAACACAGCATCAAAAA